AACAAGAAATAAATACAATGAAGTCATTCTAATGAAAGATGATACTAATATCAGTAATATACCCATTGAATGCAATAAAAAATTTTAATTCCCATTCTGTTTCAATATATCAATAATCATGACATATTGTTTAAAGTTAACAAAATATTATTTCCAACTTTCAATTATTTAAAGAAAAATTAATAAACATTTATGAATAAGTTTAACTTTTCTGTACTTATTTTATTTGAATTTAAAAATTTCGATAATAATTCATTATTTATCAATTATGCTCAGCAGATTATTAATGATAATTGATTCTAATTTTTTTCCGATTTCCCATCACTAGAACTTGAATCAGACTGCTAATTATATAAACCACATTATAATTTTTATACTTTTATATAGCACCTTATCAAATTATGTACAACTGTAATTACCATAAAGCGCTTTACATGTAAAAAAAAAAAACAAGTACAATATAAAACAAAGATCAAGTGCAATATAAAATGGTAAAATCATATAGCATGAAAATAACACCTTCCTATTAATTTTTTAATAAGAAATGCCCATTAAACAATAATGAACTGCATGTAGATCTGTAGTCTTTTTATTCTACTGCTGTCTTTTTTTTTTAGTATTTTACACACACTACTAAGCTTTATTTTAGCCAATTGTCAGGAACCTGTGCAGGTGATATTCCTCGTGTCCGCAAATGACACAAAATCACGATTTATGTAGTAGGATTTTCCTTTCTGCAAACATCAATAAACACTTGTACTGCTACTTTTACTAACAACAAGTTATCCTTTATAAACATGTACTGATGAGTCATGACAGGTGTACCTATATGCAAGAGTTGTCCCTGTAGAAGACTATCACATTTACAAAAGTTATTCCCCTTAGTGGGGACTATCCAGGGTCAACCGGCGTAAGGCACTGTTTTCCCTCTATAACCTTACCAACTTTATGGGTCAGTATCTTATTCTTAGTAATAAAATCTGTATGAATATGTACATAATTTACATCTAATAGATAGTTTTCGATGGCCCCAAATTTAGCAAAAGTTACCTCCCGTTGGTCGCCATATTGGAGGTCGACAAGGTGAGTTTTCCTCTTTGTCTTACCAAGTTTACGAAAGTATAGCAGAAATATTTGGTGGAAAATCTTTATCAAATATTTTTTTCTTAATAAAGGAGGCTTCCAAAAATTTATATACTTAAGAAAAATAATGATTCCTCATTTAAAATCGCAAATATAAAAATTTAAAATCGGTTGAACAATGAAGGAATATGAGCATTTGGACCTCCAGTATGGCGACCAACGGGGGCTAACTCTTGCTAAAATTAGGTCATATGAAAACTATCTATATGATGTTACCCAATACTCTGGCAATACAGGTACAGATCGAAATTTACCGATATCATAACGTTTTGAAGATTAAAAATATTAAAGTAACTTACAAAGGACAAAGACAGTGTGAAAAGGATCGTTAAGCCGACAACGGGAAAAACTCTTAGAAATGTAAAAAAAAAAAAAAAAAAAAAATGTAAAATTCGTCTATTTATGTTATGCAATGAAAAACTATAACGCTTCGTTCTACTAAGTAAATTTTAAAAATAGATCATCTTCTCGATCTTGTTTAACACAAGTAAAAAATGCAGCAGTATCTAAATGGAATTGTTTTTCTCCGTGTGACTTTTCTCCGAGAGACTTCAACTGCGCAGTATGATCGCTGTGCCTAAGCACTGCATGAACAAATATACGCAAGGTTGTAATTATTCAACTAAATCCTTTACTCTTCAAACCTTACAGAATGAAAACAATAATCGGCAATGAATGCTTTTGTTTCACACCCGTGTAAACACTAAATTTCACTTTACTTCAGTTACTTCTTCGCCGTCCACATCAAAAATGGCTGACGTGTCCTCGTTTTCATTTATTTGGTACACCGCGCCCGATCGAAAAAAAATTAAAGGTAAACGTAATCTGTTGATACATGTATCATTTCGTACGGACACAAACTAGACAAAATTGAATGTGCACTACATAAGGTTACTTGCACATTAATGTAATTACTCACAGCTCTATTGCCTATGGGATCTGGGGAAGAAGATTTTTAAATTTTAAAGGTTTTCTGGTGTATTCTTATGTAAACTTTACTCATCCATTACGGCCCCACCCTTGCCCCAGGGGTCTTGATTTGAACAAACTTGAATTTACACCACCTGAGGATACTTCACTATGAGTTTCATCTTTCTTGGCCAAGTGGTTCTTGAGAAGAAGATTTTTAAAATACACCATTGCTTTTTCACTAATTCCTAATTATCTCCCCTTGAAAGAGGGCATGGCCCTTCATTTGAACAAACCTGAATCCCCTTCACCTAAGGATACTTTATGGCAAGTTTGGTTGAAATTGGCCCAGTGGTTCTTGAGAAGAAGACGAAAATGTGAAAAGTTTACAACGACAACGCCGACAACGATGACAACGACGACGACAACAACGGCAACGACGACAACGACAGACAACGGACAAATTGTGATCAGAAAAGCTCACTTGAGCCTTTGGCTCAGGTGAGCTAAAAAGATTCTACAGAGTCAAAAAGGTAAGGTTGTTTTGATCACCGTAACCTTGGAATGATATGCCAAAAAAAGTAAGACTTTTCCTCTGTTCTATTTTCAATAAATTTTAAAGTATTTTTCTGACCTAAAGTTTGTCTAAAAGGGCTATTAATAGCAAAACCATTTCTGTAACTAAAGATATCCTCTAATAAAGACAAGTTATATTTTTCTGACCTAAAGTTTGTTTAAAAGGGCTATTAATAGCAAAACCATTTCTGTAACTAAAGTTACTCCCCACCCTCTAATAAAGACAAGTTAATCTTTAGTAGTATTATTTTTAAAAGTAACAAGGCATCTTGTTCAAACACTTATACCAATGTATGGTAGCTTTTTGCCATGAAAATCAAGTCTTTAAAAGGAGATTAAACTCTAGAGTATAGAGTCATAATGTAATACTGGTAATTTTAATTTGTTACATTGGCGTCGGAAGCAAATTGAAAGGGGGGGGGGGGGTAGGGGAAAGAAAAAAAATAAATTTCGAACCTGAAAAATCTTAGCAAGCAACCCCCCCCCCAAAAAAGTAAAAGGTGTCTATTGTCCAAACAAGAAAATCCTATTTCGTGAGGGGGGGGGGGGGGGGACTTCTTTCAGTACCAATTTTTTTCTTTCAAACTTACCACTTACACTACCACTTATTCTTCTTCTAGGACTACACTGCCTTGCCTGATGAGAGTTGGGGGAAGGGGGGGGGGACTAAATGAACCTATGCCCCAATGTTGAATACCTATATGATGTCCATCTTTATAAGCCCCCCCCCCCCCCCCCCCCCCACCCCGATTCCGATCCCTATGTGTTATGCATAAAGTTGATTTATAAAAAAAACACTAAATGTTTTTTAATGCTATCGTTAAAATTTGGAGATATAACTATTAATATATAATATGTATGTAGAGAGAGAGAGAGAAAAGAGAAAATTAAGTCAACTAAAAAAAATGCAATAAATTTCGGATTACACTTGAACAAATCGTATTTGGACATGCATGGATCAAAGGAGATCCGGATCCCTGGAAATTTTATTTTTTTAAATTGACATAGTAAAATTACTAAAGCTATGTCTCAAATCCTTTTCCCCTTCCGATTTGAGCCACCACCTTCTAAAGAAAATTTTCTGGATCCACCTAACCAAAAAAATACATCGGGCACGGGGTGTCGACTTGAATATAGCCGATAATGCTTAAATTATAAATAAAATCGCTGTCATTTAAGTGTTTTAATGCAATGAGAAAATACTTGTGTGATAGTGGGATGAGATGAACGCGCTGGCACGCCGACGCGCTGAATACAATTAGCCATTCTGAGAATCTTTGAATAGCAAAAAAGGAAATGATACAGAAAATATTCTAATAAAATAAACACAACAGCAGGGCAACTACAGAGTGGGCTTAGTTGTAGTTTTGTGCAGAGTAAAAAAAATTATTTGTCTATTGTTTCAAGTTATTGTGGTAGTAACAACAACAAAATTTGCAACTGTATTTGACATTGTTTCTCTATTTATTTAGGTTGACTGTGTTATATGTGGTTTGTCATAGTAATACCTGACAGGGAATAGATCCTGTGTTATATGTGGTCTGTCGTAGTAATACCTGACAGGGAATGGATCCTGTGTTATATGTGGTTTGTCGTGGTAATACCTGACAGGGAATAGATCCTGTGTTATATGTGGTCTGTCATAGTAATACCTGACAGGGAATGGATCCTGTGTTATATGTGGTCTGTCGTAGTAATACCTGACAGGGAATAGATCCTGTGTTATATGTGGTTTGTCATAGTAATACCTGACAGGGAATAGATCCTGTGTTATATGTGGTCTGTCATAGTAATACCTGACAGGGAATAGATCCTGTGTTATATGTGGTCTGTCGTAGTAATACCTGACAGGGAATAGATCCTGTGTTATATGTGGTTTGTCATAGTAATACCTGACAGGGAATAGATCCTGTGTTATATGTGGTCTGTCGTAGTAATACCTGACAGGGAATAGATCCTGTGTTATATGTGGTCTGTCATAGTAATACCTGACAGGGAATAGATCCTGTGTTATATGTGGTCTGTCATAGTAATACCTGACAGGGAATAGATCCTGTGTTATATGTGGTCTGTCATGGTAATACCTGACAGGGAATAGATCCTGTGTTATATGTGGTCTGTCATGGTAATACCTGACAGGGAATAGATCCTGTGTTATATGTGGTTTGTCATCGTAATACCTGACAGGGAATAGATCCTGTGTTATATGTGGTCTGTCATGGTAATACCTGACAGGGAATAGATCCTGTGTTATATGTGGTTTGTCATAGTAATACCTGACAGGGAATAGATTCCGTGTTATATGTGGTTTGTCATAGTAATACCTGACAGGGAATAGATCCTGTGTAATATGTGGTCTGTCATAGTAATACCTGACAGGGAATGGATCCTGTGTTATCCTCCAGGTGAATGACAGCTAGTCCATCCTTTTGACTCACAGGTGTAAAAACAAACCTCCCAGATAAAATCTTCCTAAAATCAAAGGTCACCAAGATTTAAGGGCAGGACACGAACTTCATAAGCATGATGATTACTGGATTTTATATAATTACTTAGTTGCCTTGTTAAAAATCAACTCACATTTTTTTTATGCTAGTATAAAAAATTGTCAATTCACAATTATGATAATTTAACTGGCATGTTTGCAACTTGTATACAGCAAATTTTGAACCCTGAGACCATTGGTCAATACCTATCTAGCTCTCTGACAGTTTTACTGGTAGCCGTGCAGTCCACGGTGAGATTTCTGGGACTGTCCAGTAGTTCCCTGACAGTGACAATGCTGTAGTCCAGAATGTTGGTCTTTACAACTCGCTTTATTCCAGACAAGAACTGCTGATACTGATCTGTCGAGGTACATCTACCTCTTGTGATGAGGAAAGTCTGATATAGGGATCCCAACCAACACACCTCCTGAAAAAAATTAAATAAAAAGATATAATGGTATCACATTATCACAATTAAAACATGTAACAGCATTTGTTTACGATACAGAATCAAATTTACCTGTAAAAACAGATGGCCTGATGATAACATGATAGACTGTATATAAACTAATTATAATTCAAGTGAACAAGGGGATGAATGTTTTCCAAAGACCCTTTCTTAATTCTCAAGTAAATAATCTAAAAGCTATATTCACCACAGAGTCAATAACTGTATATTATTGGATTAGATTGGGTCTTCTTTAAGCCATAAGGGAGTTGTGTAATAAACATGATAAAATACAATCGCAAAACATGCAAAAGCTGAAAGATTTATTGAGATATTGTGTGGAAACAAAACTTATAAAACAGACAGATTTTTTTTAAATTTATGACCTTGACTTTTGGACCTCAAAACCAAAACTAATCTTCCTTAGGCCATGGAGAGTTATTGTGCAAAATTTAATTGCAAAAGATCAAGGGCTTCTCGAGATGTAATCACATGGAACTGAAAGCGTTACACGCAGACAGAACTACAGACAGACAGACAGAGTCAGACCGAAATTAATATCCCTCACTTTCAGCTGGGGACAATAAATTATTTACCTGTTTATTGTCCACAAAAATGTGGTATTTCTCTATTTATTTTTCCATGTTCATCCGAGATTACTTTGACTTTTACACCAGGCCTGATTTTATATTGTGGCATGTGCAATGGACAAGCAGTGTAAGAGTCAGAAGAATCTCGGATTACTGTCTAGTCATCAATCCCATTTTTTTTCTGATGAGCGAGTTCTAAATCTGCAACATTTTATCATCGTCACCCGCTGCTTAGAGCGTCTGCTCTCGAGTCGTGAAGTAAGGAGTCAATCCTTATGTCGCAAGTACGAATCCCATCGTGGGACATGGAGACCGGTCCTTTGGATGAGACTGCATAAACCGAGGTCCAGGGCTTGACATTAACGCTTGTCCGCTTGTCCAGTACCAGTGAAAATAAAATACGGACAAGTGAATATTGCTGGGCACTTGTCCGATTTGACAAGTGCATTTTAATGTAATGGGGTCTCTAAATAATAAAAAGAACGGCTGTTGAAAGCTAAATCCAATTGGTTGAGCTAATTCGGTAGTCTCAAGACGGATGCTGTACATAAAATCTAAACTTCGATCCCGATATGTATCGCTATATTAATATTGAGTTCACATTCGATCGGGATCGAATTAAGTTCACTAATTGCATACAGGGCTCGAGCTGTGATTCGCCATTGTCGCCAATTGCGAATTTTTTTCAAAAGTGGCGAAAAGAAATTCATAAGTGGCGAAAATTATTTTTTTAGATGTACCATGTACAAAATTTATGTAGTCCAGTTTAGCTCCTTTGTTTATTCAATGTACACAGATAAGTCCCTTTGTTTACTTAATTAATGCAGCAGAGGTGTGAAAACTGAAACCTACATGTAGGAAATCACGTCTCGCTTGAACGAACAATGCTGACTAGGTAACTAGCCTGGGGCAATAAAGGGATACAAAATTGCTTGAAATGATATAATTTGGATTAAACAAGGGGGGATAAAGTGTTAATGGGAGATGAAGTTAATAAATAAAAGATTTTTATCAACAAAATCTGGATCTATGTACATGATGTAGATCGTTTTTTTAAAACCGAAAGTAGGGAAACATGACGAAAATTGTAAAGAATGGCTTCAAATTTTACCTACTGAAAATTGAAAAATGTGTACGATAATATACCGTTAACTTACAAAGAGTGAAAAATAAATTGGTTTGGAAACAGAATTATCTTTAGTTAGTAAATTACACTGAATTATTTACAATAACATGAGCTTGCATATTAAACCCTGGAGTCTCCAAGTTGTTAAAATAAAGTCAAGTTTCAAACCTAATTTTCATTTCTTTTTAATTTACTTCTCTTCACAATTTAATTAATGAAAAAATGAAAATTTCTATTTTTAAAAAATGTCATATTTTACTAGGTCTGGAGCCCCCCCCCCCCTTCCCAGGTGAAAAAAAATGTAAACAAGAGGACATTTTCTGTCAAGAGTTGGCTGATATCAATACAATATCAAATTAATTGTGTGATTCCAACATTATTATTATTTTTCTTTTTTAAAATGGATACTACCATAAGCTTTAAACATTACAATTTTGAAACAATGTCTGTGTCAGATAAACATAATAAAAAAAATTGAATTAAAAAAAAGTGCATTGCATTGTCGAGAAATCAGATGTACGTATGCCTTTCCTTAAAGATTGTGTCGCGAAAAGTGGCGAAAAATATTTTCGGTCCAGTGGGAGCCCTGATTGCATACTACTGAAAAGTCATGGAAGATACGAACCAAAGTGTGAATTGTTTGATGTTGACAGGTTCACTTGTGGACATTTATGTTATTGTCAGGACAGAAAGACTAAATTAAATTTCGTTTTATGTGTCTGTTGTATTTATCAATAACATCAAGAATCAATCAAGCGCATGATATGTGTAAATAAAAGGACTTTATTTTAATTTTCAAGTTGAAACTATTGAACTTTATTGAAAAATTTTCGGACAAGTGAAGTTGAAATTCGGACAAGTAAATGTCTTGGTCACTTGTCCAAATGGACAAGTAGGAAAAAAAGTTAATGTCGAGCCCTGAGGTCGCAGTAGATGCTGGCACAAAAAAGATCCCTCCTTGCTCAATGGCCCTGAGTGCCCAGTATAGGACAAAATTTGCAGCTCTCCACCGGCAAGAGGTGGCGTCTCCATATGACTGTGAGTGAAAAATTCTCTTGAGGGACGTTAAACAATGTACAATCATTAAGAATTTCCAGCAGTCTGGCTATACTCTCTTTTCCTACCTGATCAGTCTTGCTGAGCTGTAGCAAATCCACTGCAAGTTTAAGAAATTCTTCCTTCTCCCTACTGTCAACCATTGCTGTACCTATGGAAAAACATCCACAGACCACAATATCTATGTATCATCACACACCAGCTGCTTACATTATCAAAGAAGGAACGAAGTGATAAATCTAATGCAGTTTTTTAAAATGTCGGTGTCATTTATGTGACACACCTAACAGTTTTATGGTGACTGACTACAAGTTTTATACTCCATAATAAGAAATTACTGAGAATATTGTTTTTCAATTTTTGCGCCAAAATGTCCAATTTAGATAAACCAGCCGATTTATAGTCGTAAAAAATGAATTGTATATATGTTGAATATTTTAATTATATGGGTGCAAAATATTATAACATATTATAAACAAATTTATTTTCTTCTACAAACCCTATAAAGAAGGCTTAAATTTTTCAAAATATAATTCAACATTTTTGCACGACTCAAGCATTGTACAAGTTAATGCCTACTCGTCATATCACTTCCGTCGAATCTTGTGATGTGTCGAAAAATGTTGTTATTCATGTTGGAGTGATATTTACGCCTTGACTCACTTGTCAAATCATGACATTACAGTGTTCAGTCAACATGACATCAAAAATTATTTACATTTCCCTCATTATTGTAATTTTGACAGTTATTCCTTGTGACAGTGCGGATAAAGCCACGGGTGAAAGCACTGCATCTCCCAAAAGCAGTACATCGACATTAAGCACGACTACACCGAAACCAGGTGCCAATGAAACAGCAAAGAATGGAACAGAAAATGTGGGAGATGGTAGCTTTTTTAACTTTAAAGAAAACAAAGGGATGTTGATGAGGGCATTTTATGTGTTGATAGGCCTCACTGCCATTGTGGTGGTATACTTCGGAATTAGAGCCTGGAGGTATGTTCACTTATCTGCTCATGTTAGTGTGATTCTTACTTAAATTCTTCAGCAATCGGGTGTAATGATTGCAAAGTGTTTATGTGTGCAAGTGCTTATAAAGGATGTATTGATCGTTTGTTGTGTAAAGACCCTCTTGAGAATTTTTCACTCATGGAGACGCCACCACTTGCTGGTGGAGAGCTGCAAATTTTGTCCTATGCTCAGCAGTCCAACAAAATAATTAAACATAATTTAAAGAAGATTAAAACTGTATTTGAATTTTATCATCATTACATTTCGCGGTCCCTCCGTCATATACACACTGCATACTTCATGCGAATTTGATCATCGTATAACAAATTTCGTTGAATTTTTGTGTGAGGTCAATTTTCTTCATAAGTTTTTAATCTAGTTCGATTTTTCTCACCTGGCTAATACCTTATCGCCATCAAAAACTTGTTAAAACAATTAATCAATCATAGTTTGGTACTTGTGTTCATCGAGGAAGCCATTACGAGATACTGAAAAGCGTTTAACAGATTGTGATCGGTCGGTTATAGGTAATTTGTACGAAATTTAGTCGGATTTTTGCAAGTTGCTTTCTCAACATCTACTGGTCATTTGGACTGACACAGAACGTAAAGTGATCGGTCTAACTGTCTTGGTTGTTTTTATCGGTCTTGCCGACAGGACCGAAAGATTTCAAGAACTCTGAGTAAGGGATCTTTTACATGCCAGCATCTAGTGCAACACGGGACACAGTTTACAATGTCTCATCCCAAGGTCCAGACTCCTCATCCCATGGTGGAATTTGAACCCATGACATAAGGATCAACTCCTTACTCCACAAATTTGGAGCAGAAACTCTAACCACAGTACTGTATGTAAAGGAGGATTGAGTAAACATACATTGAAAATTCATAAATACATATAAATAAAAATATATGGCTGGACGGGGAATCGAACTCTGGACCCCTGTATTTCTAGTCAGGTACTCTAACCACTGAGCTATCCAGGCCGATGTCCTCAGTCCAGCCTAAATTCCTACGTGTGCATGTATTGAGATCACCTCAATTGTCTGCAGTTTTAATCATCTGTTACTGCATTATTAAACATGAAAATTTTATTTTGCATTTTTTTTTATATCAGAATTTTAATTCTTAATTAAACATATTGCTTGTTCTGTAATTGTATCAATTGAAATTTAAAACAATGTAAAAAATCAGTGTTCTGGTGATGTGGGTTTTATTTTTTTTCTTTCAAAATAACCATAAGTACTTCAATTATTTGTGAATTATGAAATATTTATTAATTAAGTTTGATTTTTGACAGAGTGAGAAGAAAGAGGAACAAGTCAAAGAAGTATGGATTGATTACGGGACGTGGGGCAGACTACGAGATGGCGCCACTCGACGCAGATGACGACGACGATGATGAAGATACTACTGTGTTTGAAATGAACAGACGGAAAAAATGAATCTCCCTTATCTGAGGTGAAATAGAACAGAATACAAACATAAAGTTATGCCCTTCACACTTTAATATTTCTATATGCATTCTCAGCGAAAGAACTGAAAGAACTGGGAGTTATATTAAAAATTGTTTTTGCAAGTGTATATCAAATAAAGCATAGGTACTTTTGATTGTGCAAATAGACAGAGTAAATAGTTGCTTGTTATATAGCTACAAAAAGTGTTAAATCATATTTTATGTTCTCAATTCAGATACTGGGATATCTCAGAACTGATGAGATCTTATGAGCAAATGGTTTAATAATACTTGAGCTACTCAAGCAAAGCAGAGAAGTAGATTTCTAGAGAAGCTTTAGATATTTTGATGAAAGTAGTAGACATTATGGATATAAATCAGTTGACTTTTGCTTAATGAGGAAGTTACTATGTATGTAAATGTACACATGAAAGATATGCTTGAAATTCTTGAATGATAAATCACTTTTGTTATTAAGAATATGATGTAAAAGTCAATTATACTGTTAATTCTAATGATTGATTTTGGGAACTAATTGTTTTTTCTGTACTAGGTACTCTATGTAAAATCTTGGAGGATCACTTTTCACTTTGTGTCATGTACTGCATTTTTTTTCTTTATTTGTAACTACATGATCAGCATCAATTTCATGAAGAAAGCATAATTCAGTGTGTTGTGTTGTAAGCTTTTGATGAAAGCAATGATGTATAATTGAAAATTATTTTGACATTTTCTTTGATTGTTGATGTTATTAAAAATTAAGGTGCTGGTTATATTAAGGAATAACAAACTGTATTACATAATATTGTACAGGTGTTTTATTTAATTTTCTGTGTAAGAGCCTTGTGTTGTTGATAATACTCTGATTTGACAATTTTACAAGAAGGTACTCTATTTATAACCCTGTCTTTAAGTGTGTCTTTCTGTTAAGGAAATCCATTCCATTTTTGGAAGATTTTTTTTGTATTTTGTTGTAAATATGTATATATCTGAACATCTTGAAACAAATGAACTTTAATTTTTTTTTTGTACCCGGAAAGTCCAGAATTTTCCTTAGAGAAATGTTAAGTATTAATGTTTTGTTTTTCTTAGAGGAAATATTTTTAGCTTACCTGAACCCAGGGCTCAAGTAAGCTTTTCTGATTGAAGGTTGTTCTATATCTGTTTGTTATGTGTGGTTTGTGAATTTTTCACATTTTTAAACCACTCAGCTAGTGTCAACCAAACTTAATTCCCACAAAGCATTCCCTGAAAGGAATCTAATTTTATTTATGTAAAGGACCACACCCTATTTCTTATTTCAAGGGGAGATCACTTAAAATAAGTGAAAATTTTATGACCTTTTTGAAATTTTCTCAAGAACCACTGTGCAAGAACTTTAATGAAAGCTTCATCACACATTAGGCCAGATAAAATTAATCTTTAGATTCTCATCCCCGCCCGCCCCTCTCAAAATGTCCTGCCCCGGTGTTTTTTATTCTGATTTTTGAGTATTAAAAGTATTTTCATGTATTTTTATTCAGCAAGAATTTCGGTCAAGTTTAAGTGTTATCTCCTGTCTTCATTAAAAGTCGCGTGCCGCTATTTATATAAAAAGAGCCATGTGAAGAATGGAGAAAAATTGGCAATAAAAGCAGTTTAAATATGTATGGAAAAGATAATTTGTCAGTATGGAGAAGAGAGAGAAGAAAAAATAGCATAAACACATCTAGATACTATCACTGGCATGAGTAAGTTTTTTTTTGAGAGAGAGATTTTAACAAAGTAAAAATAGACAATCGAAGAAAATGAAACCTGGTCAAGTTTTAATGCCCGATCTCCAGCTATGTGTGATTTTGTTTTGAAAAAAAAAATAAAACATCGTATGCAGACTTTAGAGAATGTTAACTGCTAAGGAAATGTTAAATCTTAAAACTGTTCAGGCCTAGGCTTTTCAATAGAATATTTTATTAGAATTTTTTTTTAGATTTTGCAAATATGACCTATTTTAATGTCGAACACGTCAAGTCTCAAGAAAGATCAAATTTTTTAGGAAGGTGGAAATCTCTGATATTTTACAGAAAACAGAGGGATTTGTAGGTAAAACTAAAACGTATTTGGGGAAAGGCCGATGAAAAGCCATGCATACACAATTTATTGGTATCCCACCTCATTTTGTTTGGCATTTGCAGTATATGTATACTTGATAATTTGTTAATTAACATTTAATTTTTTAAAGCAAGAATCTTCTTTAAAAATTAAAAAAAATACGAAAAGAATAAAATCTATTCATATTGGCATTAAGATAATTTTTAAAAAATCTGTACGAAGAGTCCATGTTTTGTTGATACTTACAAATTAACAATTATAAAAAATAAAAAATAAAATCCGCCCACCCGCCCCAATTTTTTTTAGCAAATTAGGACAAGAATCTAAAGATTAATTTTATCTGGCCTTATACAGAGTATATTTAATTTTTTTTTTTCAAAGTAAACATATCCCCAAGGGTAGGATGGGACAATTATAGGGGGAACATATTAATATGTAGGAATATATAGAATTTTAATTTTAGAACCTTCTTCTGTAGAACAGCAAAGCCAGCATTTGTCTTTTTGATACAAAAGCATCCTCATGTTATGTAGATTTAAGTTCCATCAAACCTAACCCCAGGGATAGGGTGGGGGCACAACAGGGGATCAAATATAAGCATAGAGATTTAAAGAAAAAGTAACAAATCTCTTTCTCAAGAGTAACAAATTCATACATTGAAATTTTTATTATTTAAATGTGTTTCTCTAATTTCTACCAACACTCAGGTGAGCAATGTGGCCCCTTGATTTTTTTTTACAGTATCCTACCGGATATTTTAGTCCCTAATCAGAACATAATTTAATACAGGTGATGGTGCTTTAATGAAACCAAAATTGTTTATTTTTATAAAAAGTTCTTATAGATTTAGTGATATTTGAACATAGGTTTGTAGTATAAAAATGTAAGAAAACTTAGATTAGTAATCACAAATCTAGTTGTACATTAGAAAACATTCCTGTAATGTCTATCAATGTTTCTTAAGATTACACCCAACTTAAATATTGCTTAACTATTTCCTCAAATGACAACATATGATCTGACTTTACATTCATCTGAGTTCTATATCTCTGCTAAAAATCAAAATACTTTTTTGTTAAACCTATATTTTGTTATACAATACCACAGAAAAGACTAAGAAATTTCTGCATTGTTTTGATGGTCATAGAACAGTGATTATTCCATCACGAAGGCTAGTTCAAACAGTGGTGATTAGCTTTACTTATAGTAATACACATGATTGTGTGTAATGTATAATAAATCCTAGGTATATAGTGCTGTATATCCATGTTTGCTTTATACCCTTTTTAAGACGCATGATAGCTTTGTAAAAAAAATTTCATTTTTCCACAGAATATATAACTTATTTATTTATTTCTAAAGATTATGATGCCTCTTTGTTGTCTTTGAAATCATTCATACAATTTATTTACATTAAAATATTGCTTGATCTCTCTGTACTATGACAGGTATATGTAGCTGGGTTATAAACATTAAATGAAAGGAACCTTCCCCTAGCTTCTGTTTGTACCATTTGGTTGTCCTTAACATAATTGCTAAGAGAACAGATATACTTTAAGTATATCATTTGTTGAAATTCACTATAATAAAAACATACATGAGAACCTTAGCTATCCAGGGACAAAAATTTCTAACTGTTGTATCAAGAATAATATAGATAAAGTGTCCTTTTGTTTTTTTTTGCTATTAAGACTTTACTGTTACAGGTAATGGAAATTTCCATATACAGTTTATACTATAAAGTATTAAAATGAAACACATTAAATATTGTCATTTTACAAAAGAAATTATGGAAGAAAAATGCAGAGGTTGTTTTATTTGCTTTTTATGGAATGGAGTGTATGAAGTATAAAGAGAACAATGCAGAAAGACACCTTTCAGATTTATTGCTGTGCCTTATAGGATAAAGATGAAGTTTTGAGTGGTGTCTCTGATTTATGCTATGTTTTCTACAAGTATTGGATTATACTGTACATTCAGTAGTTATAATGCAATGCCTATACTGTTTCATTTTGCTTTCCTCTATTAAGATGAAATCATACCAGGAAATTGATATCATGTTTATTAAGTTTGCCTATTTTTCGTTGAAGTACAAGTTGATATGTAGTTTATTTCTTGACAGTAAGGATGCAAAGTTTATTGCCTCTATCAATGTCTAAGTCATTGTTGTTTTCTTTAGATTAAGAAAAAAATTCACAATCCATCTTGTGATTAATAAATATGTTTAAAAGTCGGAGGTTTTCCTTTTGTTTTAACCTCACCTTACCTTGTGAGCTTTTTCTGATGACGTATTGAATGGCATTCATCTGTCAGTCAGTCTGAATGTTAACTTTTAACATTTTCAACCTCCTCTCCATAACCTAATTAATGCAATGGTTAATAGTTTGATGAATATTTCAGCTTGGGCTGGTTGCACAAAAACTATTCCAGGGTAGGGCTGTCTTGAAAAATACATTTATTGGTCATATATTTATATGGAAAAACAAGTTTTGTTTGTGAAGCACTGATGCACCCATTTGGCAGCTTATGGCAAGGGTTGAAGTTTCTTAAATGCAGTCAGCCTCCAAGATCAAGGTCAAATTGTTGGTATCCGAAGGAAGGTCTTGTCACGAGGAATACATCTGTGAAGTATAAAAGCGCTAGTGCCTCGTGTTCAAAAGTTATGGCCGAGATTAAAGTTTTAAAGAGTAAATCAAACTCCTAGGTCTGTGATAGGGGAAGACCGCTCCATAGGATGAGACTGTATAAACTGATCGAGGTCCCGTGTCTCAGTAGGTGCTGGCATGAAAAAGTTCCCTCCCTACGCAATGGCACTCAGTGCCAAGTATAGGACAGAATATACAGCTCTGCACCAGCAAGTGCTGACGTCTCCATATGAGTGAAAAAATCTCTGAGAGGGACGTTAAACAACACACAATCAATCAATAAATCAAACTTCTAGGTCAACGTTACATTGTAAAAGGTCAAAACTGCTGGTATCCGAAGTAAGGTATTGTCACATGGAATACACCCTGAAAGCCCTAGTTCTAACTCTTCAAAAGAAAGAGGGCGCTTTTGATTGGCATTCGGCAGGAATCTGGGCGTAATTGAAAAGTGAAAATTTTATCGACATGTCACATGAAATTTTATGATCTTTTTATTTATCGGGTTCCTGTGCAACAGGAAAGGAAAATATTTTCCCGAAGTTGAGCTTTGATTTACTGAAAAATAACTTGAAAATGGGCCAGATCAGACATTTGGTACAAAATGGTACATTTTTAAACACGTTTTTCTAAAATGTTTCTATCTCTGGGTCTTCTCTCCATAATTTTGAAACGTGATTTGTGTGTATTTTTATTCAAAGAAACGAATACACATTCTTAAAAAATGGAGAGAAGACCCAGAGACCACGAAAAATGTACTTTTTCCCAAAAAATCCAAATGTGTGAATGTGGTGTTTCTTTGTCCTTTTTAGATCATCTAAATACGCGTAGCGGTGATAGCTCAGTAAGTAGGGATACCTGTTTAGTGCGTTTGAAGCGAAAAGTTTTTGGTTCGAGCCTGGCATTGGGCGTTAATTTTTTTTCATGCAAACAATCATTTAGTTTGTTAGTTTCGTTTTATGTCCTGATGTATTAAAATTTTGAATTTGATAAATTTTGGTTCAGTTTTGTTCTCAAGCGAAATCAATTCCAATCTTCTATTCCATAATGTACATGTACACTATCGCATTAAATATTTTAGGTGTTTATTTTTTGTGAAGCATTACTATGTTATAGTACCCCCTAGGAAAAACGGGCATAGATGTTACAATATCACATGGTCTTTCAAACTAAATGAAAAAAAAAAAACTTATGGACGTGTTTGTAAAATCTGACCAGCTATGTTCAGCCAACCAAATCATGGACATTTAAACCATAAATGTTTCGTAAAAATGATTCCTGCAGATCACAGGCCAAATACGCCCATTCTTCTTATATATATTAGGGATGTCAACGAACAGTCGAATGGACCGACGATCGAATAATGAAACGACATTCGAATATTTAATAAATGCAAATAGGAGGTGTTAAAGAATTATCAACTCAAAATTGTAAAGCGTCATTCCTCAAATCATTATAGTATCCGTCATAATCCGACCTCAGACGAATAAAAGTTTAAATACAGTCACAGTATTCCCCATTTTAAAAAGTGATTTATCTCCCCTCAAAATCGGAACTCTTCTACACTAGCATAACTTCCGCGGACTACGCATTACGATAATCCAACAAAATAGGC